GGTCCCTTTCACGACTTAAAGACTAGATCTTGTTTGTTGGGGCCATTCTAATGGATGAAGTTGGAAACTTTATCTATTATGGAGCTATTAGGAATCATAAAAATGTGATCTTGGTCCTTTTATCCCTTCCATGCAAGAGTAGTGATGTATTAATGGATTAATAACTTAGGGTTTTAGCTTTTGGACCTTCCCTAGCCATGGAAAGTCATAAATGTGGAAAATTTATAACTTAAGACTATGTTTTGAGGATATATCTGAGTTAGGTGAAAAGTCCTTAAGGGATTAAGTGCTTAATGGAAAGGATGGAACCGGCTCGAGTACGCTATGTGTAATTTTCGTACACTAGGCGTACTAAGCCATCGCATGTAAGTGGGGTGTAAGTTCAGTACGTAGGGCGTACTCAACCAACCTTGGACTTTGACTTTTGTTGACTCCATTGACTGTTGACTTTTGACTAAGTTTGACTTTAGGTTAAACTTGAGGTTTTGATTGGTGATTAAGATGTTATTTGGTTTTGATGTTAGTGGATCCACATAAGCAAGCATTGTAGTAGGGAGTGTATCACAGTGTTCTCGGGTTTCATCATTTTAAGTGAGTTTCATCTCACTATACCCGTGGGTCGAAGGCACCAATTTTTCCTCACTAGCTTTGGTTATCTGTTAGTATATGGATGTCTTAGGGATTGTATATAGTCATATTGGATAGAATGAGGACTCTTAATCTAGGTTCTTTACCTATTCCTCATTTAGTTGTGGTTCTAGAGTAGGATCACCTGTCTAGGTGCCTATCTCACATCTGAGTATATACTATTATGAATTCCATCGATTGTTGATATTTAGTATGTTATTATGTTGTAGTGGCATGTTAGATCTATATATTGGTATATAGGATGTTGCTATGATGTAGTGACCTGTTAGATCAGTATCCTGGTATATAGGATGTTGCTTTGCTGTAGTGATCTGTTACATCTGTATCTTGGTATATAGGATGTTTCTATGTTGTAGTGATATGTTAGATCGATATCTTGGTATATAGGATGTTGCTATGCGGTAGTGATCTGAAGAATTATATGTTTATCTGTACTTGCTGGTTATCATCTAATGGAGTTCCCTAGGGATTGTATGTAGTCATGTAGGATAACCTGAGAACTCTTGATCTAGGCTTTCTTGCATGTTCCTCGTTTGGTTGTGGCTCTAGAGTAATATCATTTGTCCGGGTGGCTATCTCACCTCTAGGTATTTATGGTTACGCATTTCATGGAAGTTAGCTGGTAGCGTGATTGAATGTTGTAAGAGGACTAATAGGTGGCCGTGAGTTGTATCATTGTGTATATTATGTGTATACTTGATCTTGATTGTTTATATGTCGAAATATGGTAGTAGTGGGTTGAGGCAGTCCTGCTTTGTGCTATAGCCCAAGATACCCGATGCGAGTTGATTGTAATTCGATGGCATGGAGGCTCGGGATGAGCGGTTGGGTTGAGGCGGTAGGCCAACAAACCCTTGGTATTCCAGCCCGATGGTTGAGTGGATTGGACCCGATACATGCTTGTATGTTTATCGTATGAGGTGTTTTGGGGGAAACTCACTAAGCTTTGTGCTTACCCAGTTGTTTATTGTTTCAAGTACCATTGGTCGTCATGGGAAGGCGAATGTGTGACTGTATACATTCAACAACAATGAAGATTCTGTGTTTTAATATTACTCTGATTTTTAATAAATGTATTTGTATTAAACGGTTTTCTCCATAACTGATTTATAATTGGGAAGCTTTACTTAAATAAAATGAAATTTTTTTACTATGAAAATTGGACATTACAGTGAGCTTCCCCAAAAATACCATATATAATATAAACATGAACAAATATAACAGCATGAGGCAGTGTCAGGTCCGTATCAACCCCAAGTCTATAATGACTCCATGCAACAACACATAGTTGTGTTGGGTCCGTATCAACCCGCGGGTCCCGTATCAACCATGAGTCCAATACGTCTCCGAGATCGGATTGGATCCATGCATATAACATTCAATCATAACCTAAAATGTCACATAAACACATACACCCTACATATATAGATCAGTTGGTTGCATTGGTGCCTTTGACCCATCAGTGTGTTGAGAAGACTCACCTTAATCCGTAATCGAATAAAACTCACACTCAGGCTGTTGCTACAAATCTCCTCTCACTAATATATCCAAAATAACCTTAATTAGCAACTAAGGTGAAATTTCATCATTAAGGGTCCTTAGTATACTCTCATTGGGGTAAATGACCATTTTACACCTTCATGGCTAGGACCCACCCCAAAGTCAAAGTAGGTCATAGAGTCAACCTATAAAGTCAAATCCATCGGACAAATATCCTAACATCGAGCCTCACGTCGTGACCAGCCCTTGGTGACGTCGTGAGAGCCGACCAAGTCCGATTCCAGCAACTCGATCTTGAATCAGTCCACTCAGTCAAAGATTTCCTACTAGACTAACCTCACGACGTGAGAATCACTAAGTCACGTCGTGAATTCCATAAAGTCAGCGACTTACGGGCTTAGTCATTGTCACGTCGTGAGACCTTATGTGTCACGTCGTGACTACAGCCTGAAGCCAAAAAATAAGGTTTTAAGTCCTTCATCCATTAAGCCATCAAAACCAAATCTTCCAGAAGCTTAAGGGGACCCCAAAGGTCCATAAAAATATTTGCTTTATGGACATGCATCCACCATGCATGTCCCAATCCATTCTAGGTCAAAAGTGGAAAAATATGCACCAAACTCTCATGTATGGCTCTTATACTTCACTAACTTCCAGATCTGGACTATATGATGATCAAGGAACCCTTAGAATCCATAAAGTTGCTAACTTATGGATTTACTTCACTCAAGCATGCTTAAACATGAAGAATAATGGAAAAATCCTATATCTATACAAAATATACAATAAAGTTTCAACCTTTGATACTTACAAATGTCCAACAACAAGAAGAGATGATGATGATGATGATGCTTTGCCCACTCCACCACTAGAACACTTTTTTTCCTCTTATTCACTCATTCTTCAAGCTAGAAACTGCACCAAAATGGCTAAGGACTTCAAGGAGGGTTGTGATTAAGGTTTCTGGAGGCTTGAAGAGTGAGGGGGGCTGAGGGTGGACAACCCTAGCCCTATCATTCCATTAAATACTAAGAAATCAAGTCATCAGACCGTTCTCACGTCGTGATCAACAAGGGCTCATGTCGTGAGACTCAAGGAATACGGGTCAACAAGTCAAGTCTGGCTCACGATGTGAGATGTGAGAGGCATTGCTCACGTCGTGGCTTCTTCCAAAGGCTAGAAAAGGATTCTTGAAATCATGTACGTCAAAAATCTAAATGCTACAATAAAATCATGTGTATATTGAACATATATGGATATTTTAAGACATTGCACTTTTCCTTGCGGTGTTAGGTACTTGTTTGTATCTAGATAATTATGTATTAGGTATTGTCTTTATAAGACTTTGCAATTATTGTTTTGTGAAATTTGAAGCGTTGTCTTACTTCAAACAACAAAACACAACCCAAAGATAAGTTCTTTGACATCAAGAACTCTCTTGGAACAAAAATCGTGTATGAAAGCATCTATAATAGTCTAATTTTCATCGGTGTTCTTTTTTTTTCGGTCCACTTTGTATACGAGTTCTTTTGCTCTTGCTTTCCTACACTTTATGTCATCCATGCTATTATTTTAAAACGAAAGCAATTAGAAAAATATCATTTTAAGACTAAGACAATTATAAATAAAACAAAGAAAGACAATATATATGTTGATCTAAGCTTTAAACTCATGAACAATTTAGTTGATAAAACTTGATAGAAGCGAGTTCTAAAAACCATTGTTGGTTTTCTTGATGTCAAAGCTTTATCCTACCTAAAGATGAACAATATCAATTAAGAATTTAAGAGTAGTTTTTTTTTAATCAAATCCCTCCTTTTGAAAATTTAAAAAGTGAGAGGGTGAAAATGTAAATGAACAACATTTGAAAAATCCACATTTACACAATATCACACACACCCACATGATTGATCACACTCACACCACCACCTCAAGAGCGTAACCAATTGAAATGGAGCTACTGTATTCATCTTGGTGATGTAGTTGAGTCACGAATGTCATCATGTTTGGTTTAAAAATCACACACACTAGTGTGTGTATGGCGGGCGTGGAGCTATCAAGTCGTGTACTCCATCATCATCCCAATTAATTATAACTTCTCTCTCGTGGATTTCAGTGTTGTATTGTTTTTTTCAAACTACTCTTTGTACCCGCCCTCCCAAAACGCCACCCCCACAACCACAACGTTCCGTTCTTGCAATTGGATCAATTATTATCAATTCACTAAATTCTTTCGTCACTATCTACAGTTCCTCGATCGTATAAACTGTAGGCTCAAACTCTCAGATCTACGGGTAATCATAGTTCGCGATTATCGAGATATACCTTACAAAAAGGTAGTGAATAGTTAGTTTCGTGGGATTGCCCTTAATTCTTTTCTTCGCTATTGATTTTCTTTTCTTTTATCTGTTTGTGATCGTGATTCCCAATGGCAGAGATTGTTCCCCCTTTGCATTATTTTAATCAGTTTGCTTAATCAAGTGTTTTCAGCTTTCTAGTTGTTCTAATTCTGGATTCTGTTTGCGTCAAAGGTGTTTGATTTTTTTGATTCAATCAAAAAGTTTCGAATCCAAGGCAAATTCGACGCATGGCGTTGGCGTTTAGTTCTATGCGTTCCGTTTGAAGTAAGAAGTAACTCGTAAAGTTGTTTTTCCATTGAAAAGAGGGGAATTTGGAGTTCCTTTTGCCTCTCTTTATTACCCTTTTTTCAATTTTAAAATTTATATAACAACACAACACAACCCAGTTGACAGACAATCCACCATTCATAAACGCCAAAAGAGTCTCTCTCACTTTAGCATGCGAGAGCTTAATTTTCTAGATAAAGAGAGAGGTGGTGTTGTCATTAATCGATGCTGAATATGAAGAACAAACTTTCCGATTCTGATCATAACAACAACAACAACAACAACAATGGTGGTGGTGAAGCTCTGAAGCAGAAAGAGAGGCATATAGTTTCTTGGTCACAAGAGGTTCAATTTCATCTTCTGATCTTCATTCTTTTTTCGTGATCTGTTCTGGACTTAACTTAACGATTGATTACTTCATATTCAGGAGGATGAAATATTAAGAGAGCAAATCAGTATCCATGGAACTGACAAGTATGATTCCGAGTTTCTCTTTCCTTTATCCTCTCATCTCAAGTTGTTCGATTACATACGAATCAATCAAATTAACGAAACTGTTATCACGTCATGTGTAGTTGGACAATTATTGCATCAAAGTTCAAGGATAAAACAACCCGACAATGCAGAAGAAGGTAAATCTCAAAAAGTATTCGAAAAAACGAAAAGGAAAACTCTAATTTTTATATTATTTTGCTAATCCTGAATTTCGATACAACTTTACGAATGCAGATGGTTCACTTATCTGAATTCTGATTTCAAGAAAGGAGGATGGTCACCAGAGGAAGACATGCTCTTATGCGAGGTAACATTTACAAAAATACCCTTGGTTGGTTTCTTCAACCATTAAATCATCTATGTGTCCCATTTATCATAAGTCAAACAACAATAAGTTAAGAACAATAAAGAAAAAAGATCCATGATAATTTCTGTAATGGAATTTCAAGAATCAAGATCACTTTTTTAGAGGTGCTAAATTACTTAGTTTTTCCATTTTACAGTAATGAGCTAATCTATGCAGGCTCAGAGGATATTTGGAAACAGATGGACTGAAATAGCGAAAGTGGTTTCAGGAAGGTAAAGAATTTAATTTATATATATATTTTTTTAATTTTGTATTGAAGAACTTAAAACACAATTAAAAAAAGTAACTTTCTTTGTTTTTTCATACATGAAAAACAGGACTGATAATGCTGTGAAGAATCGGTTTTCCACTTTGTGTAAGAAGAGAGCAAAACATGAAGCATTAGCAAAAGAAAACAATGTTTCTTACATCAATACAAACAATAAAAGAATCATCTTCCATGATTTACAAAAGATTGAAACTTCAATGCCTCCTTTGAAGATTCGGTATGTTCCTTTCACATACCTACACCAGGTTGACCTGACCTGACCTGTGTCATGTCATGTTATATCATGTCATGTCAGGTCAGGTCAGGTCAGGTCAACCTGCTAATTGAACTTTTAACTTTTAAGAGTAAAAGTTAAAACGTTTGTTGTGGTTTAGGAGGAAAGAAGTTGGAGGTATGATGGAAGATTGTAATCTTGAAGAAGGGTATAATGGTAATTGTACAAGTACGGGTCATCATCAACTAAGACCTCCATTTGCAGTTCTTGCTCATAACATTGATCTCTCAACAACTCAACTTCATGGCATCAATAAGGAGGTCTCAAAAGATGGTAATTTTACAAAAACACACACACACACATACTTGTTAAAAAAACTAAAAAAAAAAGTTGGATATTGTTGATAAAAAGCAGGTAGTTGTAACATGGGTGAAGGAACATTTCTCAAGAAAGATGATCCAAAGATTATTGCTTTAATGCAACAAGCAGAGCTTCTTAGCTCTCTTGCACTTAAAGTTCATACAGAGAAAACAGATCAGAGTTTTGAAAATGCTTGGAAGGTGAAAACAGTTTTTTTTTTTTTTTTTTCATAAAACAATTTCTTTATTGGTTAAATGCAAGAAATATAAATCATATACAACAAACAGGTTGTTCAGAATTTTCTTAAGAACAGTAAAGAAAGTGAGAATCTTGGATTCAACATTGCTGACATGGATTTTCGACTTGAGAATTTTAAAGATTTGGTTGATGACATGAGAAGCTGTAACAATGGAAGTAGTCATGATTACTGGAGGTAAATATAATTAATAAATATAAACTAAAGTTCATTTTTTTTTTTATTTCTTAAAAATAAATTTTTTTAAAAAAAATTGAATTTCTGTAGGCAGCCTGATTTATATCAGGCATCACCAGACAGCTCTGAGTATAGCACAGGGTCAAGTAATATTGTTGGTGATGTGAATATGATAACATCTGATGAGGGAATCAATCAAGGTAAATTATGTCCTTTTTTTGTAATTTTACCTATAATTAAACATCATCTTGATAATAAATAAATAATTATATATTTGTTTGAATTACAGATATTTTACAATCTTGTGATGAATTCAAGAATGATGTTGCATTGCCAAATTCAGAATTCAATTCTCCACTTCAAGTCACTCCATTGTTTAGATCAATGGCTGCAGGGATTCCAAGCCCACAGTTTTCAGAAAGTGTAAGTACATTTACCATTTTACGTTTTTGCCCTTCTCATACGTTAAATCAAATCCTGTGACAACAATCAAAGGGTAAGTTATATTATAAAAAAAATAAAAAAAAATAAAAAAAAAAACATTATATTGTCAGCATTTTGAAATTTTAACTAACTAATACTTTATTTTTTGGAATCAAACAATAAAACTTGAAGACATTTTGATTTATTATATAAGGTCAAAATGGTTAATTTATTATTTATTTATTTGGGGGTTTTTCAGGAAAGACATTTTCTACTAAAAACGCTTGGAATGGAAATGACACCTCCGAATTCAAGCACAAGAACTTCACAGCATCCACCCTGCAAAAGGGCTCTTCTTCATTGTCTTTAAAAAAAATTAAAAAAGAAAAAAAGAAAAAAAAGAAAAAGATTTGATCAAGATTTGCTTTATGCCTTGAAAGCAAGAATGTTGAGGTACATTGTTGAGTTTGAGGGGTAAAAATGTCTCATTTTTGTGTGTGTGATTTTGGAGGGTATCGAGTTTTAGGTGTTCGATATTGACCTCATAACTATTTGGCCTCAAAACATGCCAAATTCTGTACAGAAGATAATTTTACTTAGTCTTGGAGAGTGTAATTACAAATATACCCCCCATTTATACGGGTAAAAGAGGGGGGAAGGTAGTAAAAGTATAAAAGAGAGTGAAGGAGGATCAACCACCGAATTGGACTCCTGTTCTTTGTTTCTTTTTTTTTTTCTTTTTCTTTTTCTTTTTTTTTTATTCTTAAAATTTATATTGTAATGTATAACTTACAATGATTGGTTTTAGAGAATGTAAGCTATAATATATATGGTTCTTTGTGTGCAGAATCTTTATGTTTTCTATGTTTTCTTTTATTCTGATTCAACTAATTATTTATAGGCAAATGCTAGAAAAACCCTTAAGTTTTAGATGTTTTATAGAAAAGCCCTTATGAAAAAAAAGTCACTAAAGCCATTTAGGATTTGTAAATCTTTCATAAAAACCATTTCTAATTTGTAACTTTTTTTACACGTCAGTATTAGGATAAATGATGGAAAAACCCCTTATTTTTTATTTGGACTTACACAAAGCATGTAAAAAGGTATAAAATATAAGGACTTTTTCGTCATTTTTTCTATATTAAATAGTTGGATAATGATAACAAAATGATGAAATGATTTTCTTGAAAATTACAAATGGCATTAGTGAAACTTTTTTTCATAATGACTTTTCTGTAAAAAATGATCAAATTGTAAGGGCTTTTCAAGCATTTCCCATTATTTATACATGTAATTACAAAAAATGGGCCCTCTACTTTCTGATTTTTACCATGTTTAGTCCAACATTGAAACCTTTTTTTATTTATGGTCCTTATTTCTAGGCTTCCTATCGATTTTGGTCCCCGAAACCTTGAAATGACACTCAAAATCTGAAAATCAGTGGACAAAAATTGATATGAAACCATGAGATGAGAAACAAATTTGAAACATGTTCCAATTTTAGACTAAATACAGTAAAAATCGAAAAAGCATAGGGAACATTTTTGGAATTTACTCTTAGTTATAAAAAGAGTAGTGAATTAGAGGAAATGATGAATGAAAAGAGTGGGATAGAAAAGTCTTACTTGGTGAAGATGAAAGATTGACTTTGTTTTTTGTGTTGTTGAGACATGGGATTCTTCTGCATTAGTGTGTGTGTGTGTGTTAGTGTGTGAAGTATGTGTTGTGTTGTGGGGAAGAAGGTGGGGAGTGAGGAATCCTGTAGGAGTATTTAAGTTGGTCAGCTTGATGATGATGATGGTGGTGGTGATGGTGGAAGACAAAAGATGATCATCTTTAAAAAGTAAAAGTATGTTAAGAGAGGAGGGGAGGGAACCATGTATAAATTTTATAGTATTTGTATTGACTTTCTCTGTTGACTTATTTTTAGTGCTACTTGTTTCTTACATGATAATGATTAAATTTTGTGTGTACATGAATTTATATGATATAAAACAGTTAGATAAACATTTGATAATTGATATGTACATTTTGAAATACAAAGAATTAAATGGTGATGTGCACATACACTCGGCCAAACCAGTCCCATGAGTGTAAAGCATCAAAATATCTACAAGAAGATTTATAAAACTTTTAACACCATCTACATTAATTAATGTCATTATGATTTTAATTGTGTTATATCGGTTTTTAGTAGAATACGGTTTTAAAAATTGAATTTTCACTTACATATGAATAACTACTCAACCATAAATAAAATTAACTAGCAAAGAGCTAGATAACAATTACAAAAAGTTCATAGGATTTTGAAGCCAATTCACCCATCCTATTTGACATCTATTATTTCTATTATAATACCGCAATGAAGAAAATTCTTTTATCGAATCAACAATCTCATTTTTTTTTTAATCTTTTCTCTTCCAAACACCACATTATTTAGAAATCTCCAAATATACCATATAGTGATACATGTTATCGCATGATCAACCACCCTTCTTTTCTTCACATTCGTGACATCATTTTCAACTAAAGTGAATAACTAAAAAAACGTATAGAAATCTGAAGGAGCAACATTGATCCAAAAGAAAATATAGTTTCAAGTTCTAGCTCTCACTTCACACCTAAAAAAAATGTTCAAGTTGTTCCACTTCAAGTTGACATTCATGACCCCATTTTCAATGAAAGTGAATAACACATAATTGATTTAAAAATATATTAATTATCTATATTTAATAAATATTTAATAAGACATTAAACCTATTTAGTTATTTATAATTTAACTTTGTTTTTCAGGAACAACATTTGACACGCGCTCTAATCTATTCTTATATTTTAAATGTCTCATATAAAACTTGAACTCTTAACCTTAGGCATCTCATCATGATATAACTTTATTTTAGGTCAAAGTATGTCATGTTTACGTAATTATGTAACATCCTGATTCTCAGGTATGATATTTATGGCTTAAAAGGTAAATTTTCTTTTTGAACTCGTCGAGTTGAAGGCCTCAACTCGGCGTGTTGGAAGCTTCCCAACTCGCCGAGTTGGTGGTTGATTATGAAACCCTAATTTTTAGGGTGTTGCACCCTATTTTTAAGGCCGTATGGCCTTTACATGGCCTCCTTATCCGCCCCCTCTGTCCCGGAAACCCTAGTTAGTGCTTTTTTCTCTCATTTTGTGTGTTTTTGTGTGAGCTTGAGGAGTGTTTCTTAGTGTTCTTTTGGGAAGGAGTTTGGAGTTTGAAGAAGCTTGATTGAGAGGAAGGTTGTAGATCTGGGATCCTCTCTGTTGTTGCAACCATTTTGAGTTATAAAGTCGAAATATTGACCATTTATTGCTTAGATCTCCTCCTTGGAAGTTTATTGTCATTTTGGGTTCATTGTGGAGTCATTCTTGGGTTTGATCATTTCTGGAAATTGCCACTTCAGATCTGGGCATTTGGTGGCCTCTTTAGGCTTAAAGTTTCAAGCTTTATATAGATCTAGGTTTCCTTCATGTTCTAAGTCCTTTGTTAAGTCATTTTTTGAGTAGTTTGGCCTCTTGGTGTCATGCATGGACATAAATTTAGCAACTTTACATGTTTTTCCAGATATTGGGTACTAGATCCACATTCTTGGGCGTTAGAAGGGATGAAAAAGGATGAAAGAGTTAAGCTGGTAAAAATCGACGAGTTGGATCGAATTTTTCCCGCTTTTCTAGAAAACTGTAGGAACTCGACGAGTCGTCTGGAGGACTCGGCAAGTTGGCTCGAACTTTTCCCGTTTCTCTGAGTATTGAGGAAACTCGACGAGTTGGCATGTGTACTCAACAAGTTGGGTCAAAATAGACTGTTGACCTTCACTGTTGACTTGACTTTGGCCATGGTTGACCAAGTTTGACTTTGAGGGTATTTTGGGTATTTGGAGGTTTTGATTAAGATGGTCATATGTTGGTTGTAGGCATTTGATTCAGGAGATGAGATTCGAGAGTTGGATCTTATCAGTCAATGTTGCTTGTGAGGTGAGTTTTCCTCGTTGTACTTACGGTTCGAAGACACCAATACCGACCCATCATAATTGATATTTTGTTATGCATGTTGTTATGCTTAGTGGTTTGTTAGATCTATTTAAATGCGTGTAGAATGTTATATGACTATTTGTTATATGTGTACATATTTAATTGGTGGCTGAGGCTTTTCTGCTTTGTGTGTAAACCAACAGGCCGAGGTATTCCAACTCGATGGTTGAGGGTCGAGGGTATTCCATCCCAAGGATGATTGGACCCATAATATGTTGGCATTCCAACCGATGGTGGAGGGTCGGGGGTATGCCAACCCGAATGTTTACTAGTGTAACGTTCCATTTAAAATTAATTAAATAAATAATAAACTCTAAAGCCTCGAGATGTAATTTTATTATTATTTTATAGCCAAAATCAATAATATTTAGTGGAGTGTTGGTTTTGGGGAGCCAAATGTTATAATTTGGATTTTCGGGGATTAAAGTGTAATTCAAGGATTTATTTTGTAAAGATTTTCAAAAGTCAGGGGATGTCTGGTAAAATATTGGACTTAAATTGAAAGGATTTTGGAATATTGAGGGCTAAAGGGTAAATTTTGGACTCGAGTTGAAAAGATTGTGAATGGGAGGTACTGGTTGTGTCAATTTCGTTTATCAGTTTGAAAGGAACACGGGACTTAAACCTGTCATTCCCATCCCTCCTGTTTTTGGATGCATGTAACCCTAACCCTAGCGTATTCTCTACAACCGCCACCACCTTCGGAGCATGCTCAACCGCTGCTTGCATCCCCACCCTTTCTCCACCTACTACCTCGCTGTGGAGTACCACCACAATAGCCTTGCTGTCGGAGATGTGGTGAGAAGCCAGAAGAGACACGAGACCAGCGAAGGAAGCTGTGATCGTCGATACCGGAGTCACGAACGACCGGAAGGCTCTCGGTAAGAACCAATGTCGGCCCACTAGTAGCTGATTATAGTTAAGATGATTGTCTTTGTGATTTTGGTATGCCACTATTTGTTATGCTTTATGTGCTAGTATGTTATGATATTATGTGATAGTGGTAGGAAAGGTAGGATAGTCCCCGGATACCAGTTGAAAGAGACTTAAGCACCCAGGTATGCCAAGCAGTTACTAGTTGAAAGAGACCGAAGGGGTAGACCAACACCTAAATATGCTAGGTAGTTTCCGGTTGAAAGAGACCGAAACACCCAGATATGCTAGGCAGTAGGAGAATTACATGTATATGTTAGGACATTTATGTGGTAGTAGTAAGGGTGAGTTAGTCCCCGTATACCGGTTGAAAGAGACCGAAGGGGGTAGGCCAGCACGCAGATATGCTAGGCAGTTACCGTTTGAAAGAGACCGAATGAGGTAGGCTAGCACCCAGATATGCTAGGCAGTAGAAGAATTACATGTATATGCTAGGACATTATATGGTAGTACTAGGGGTGAGTTAGTCCCCGTATACCGGTTGAAAGAGATCGAAGGGGTAGGTCAGCATGCAGATATGCTAGGCAGTTACCGTTTGAAAGAGACCGAATGGTGTAGGCCAGCACCCAGATATGCTAGGCGGTTACCGGTTGAAAGAGACCGCAGGGGTAGGCCAACACCCAGATATGCTAGACAGTATGTTATTGTATGGTATGTGGTATGATGGGGGAAACTCACTAAGCTTTGTGCTTACAATTTTCAATTTTGGTTTCAGGTACTTCCTCTTCGAAGGGAAAGGGGTCGACATGATGGCAACGCATCACACTAAATTTTCTGAACTAGAGATCTT